TGAAATGGGAATGTGTACCCAATGTCTTTTCCACCATTGTATCTTGGGAGTAGATAAATTTGGTTTTGACTTTTACAGGTTCAAAGCCGGAAGGACTTTTGCTTTTGGTCTCAGAGGAGACTTTGGACTTTGGACTTTTAAGTTGGTGCTGGGGCAAGCTAAGACTTTTGGGACTGTTGGGATAGAATGATTGTATTTTGTATGTGAGAGTGACATGAGTTTGGGGGTGCCAGGGGCGGAATGATGGAGTTTGGATGTGTTGTCCCCTCCAAAACTCATGTGGAAATTTGGTCTCCAATGTGGCAGTGTTGGAAACTGACTGAGTCATGGGGGCGGATCCCTCATGAATGGATTAATGCTCTCCCTGAGGAAGGGGGGATTAATGAGTGAGTTATCACTTTATTAGTTACCACGAGAGGTCGTTGCTTACAAAAATACCCTGGCACCTTCTCTCTCTCTCTCTTGCTTTCTCTCTCTTGCTTCCTCTCTCACTATGTGATCTGCTTGTACCTGCCGGCTGCCTGCCACTTTCCACCATGAGCAGAAGCAACCTGAGGCCTGTGCCAGGTGCAGCTGTCCCAGAATCATAAGCCAAATAAACCTCTCTTCTTTATAAATTACCCAGTCTCAGGTGTTTCTGTTATAGCAACACAAAATAGACTAAAACAACAGCCAACTGATCTTTGGCACAGGGGCCAAGAACACATATTGAGGAAAAGATAGTCTCTTCAATAAAAGGTGTTGGGAAAACTGAATATCCACATGCAGAAGAATGAGACTACATTCCTACCTTTTACCATTTATAAAAATCAACTCAAAATTTAATCAACTTAAAAAATTTAAATGTAAGACCCAAAAGTGTGAAACTGCATAAGAGTAATTATCCATGACATGGGGCTGGGCAAGGATTTTTAAAATGAGACTTTGAAAGCACGAGCAATAAAAGCAAAAATAGACAAGTGGGATTATATCAAACTAAAAAGCTTTTGCACATCAAAGGAAACTTAGAGTGAAGAGACAACCTACAGAATGGGAGAGAATATTTGCAAACTGTACATCTGACAAGGAGTTAATATTAAGAGTATATAAGGAACTTCAAAATCTCAACAGCAAAAAGCCCCAAATAACCCAACTGAGAAATGGACAATAAAAAATATTAATAAACATGTCTCTAAAGAAGGCATACAAATGGCCAACAAGCATATTAAAAATGCTCAACATCCTAATCATTGGGGAAATGCAAATTAAAACAACACTGAGATACCACCTCACCAGTTATAATGGCTATTATCAAGAAGACAAAAGAAAACAAGCATTGGCATGGATGTGGAGAGAAGGGAACACTTGTATACTGTGAGTGTGAACTAGTACAGCCTCTGTGGAAAACAGTATGGAGGTTCCTCAAAAATTAAAATTAGAGCTACCATGTGATCCAGCAATCTCACAATAAACATGGGAGTGCAGATATCTCTTCAATGTCAAAGAGATATCTGCACTCCCATGTTTATTGTAGCACAACTTACAATAGCCAAGATATGGAATCAACCTAAGTGTGCAACAATGGAGAAATGGATTTTAAAATGTCGTATATATACACAATGGAATGCTATGCAGCCATAAAAAAGAATGAAGTGCTGTCATTTGTGGCAACATGGATGAACCTGGAGTTGGAGGACATTACGTTAAGTGAAGTAAGCCAGGCACAGAAAGACAAATATCACATGACCTCACTCATATGTGCAAAAAAATAAGTTGATTTTATAGAGGCAGAAGGAATAGTGTTCACCAGAGAGTGGTGGTGGTGTTTTTGGGGGGAAATGGAGGAAAAAGAGGGAGAGGTTGGCCAATGGGTACAAATTTACAATTAGATAGGAGGAATAAATTCTGATGTTCTTTCCATGGAACAGTAGGGTGGCTCCAGCTAACAGTCAAGTTCTGTATATTACGTAATAACTGCAGGAGAGGCTTTTGAATGTTTTTGCCATGAAGAAATGAAAAATGAATGAGGTGTTTGATACATTAACCTCTCTGACCCAATTATTATGTAACATATACATATATCAAAACATCTAATTAGGGGCCGGCCCATGGCTCGCTTGGGAGAGTGTGGAGCTGAGAGCACCAAGTCAAGGGTTCAGATCCCCTTACCGGTCATCTTTTTTAAAAAAAACATCAAATTGTACACCTCTGATCCAATTATTTTATAACATATATATGTATCAAAACATCAAATTGTAACCCTAATTATGTATAACTACAGCCTGTCAGTTCAAACAAAAATAACTAAATTCTTATTTGAATCATTGTATTCTCAACTTCAATTGTTTAAATTTTAAATAAATTTGTCTTTATTATTACTTTATTGTTATTCCCTATTTGGTGAAACTTTGATCTCATACTTTCATTTATTACATGAGACATGGCATCTTTTAGTGTTTGTTTTCTTCTTTTCTCTTTTTTTTCAACATAGCCGACTTAAAATTTTGTCTAATTACTTGAAAACATGGGCTTCCTCAGGTCAGTTTTCGTTATTCATTTATTTTCTGTTTTTACGCCACATTTTTTGTATGCATTTATAAAAATTTTCTTGGAACTAGTAATTCATAGTACTTAATGTGGTAATTCTATCGCATTGTCTTTTTTTCTTTGGCCTTATTACTTTTGCTCTTTAATGACTTTTTAAACTAATTCTGTAAAACTTCCTACTTTGTTGTGTGTGACCACTGAATTCTATGCTCAGTTAGCTTAATGGTTAGCTAATTATTTCAAATAAATTAAGTACCTGAAACCAGTAAGTCTCCCACCTTCTGTGTAGGTTCGGACTGTGTTTAACAGTCAGCCAGGTGGTTTACTGGCCCATCTTAGCCTTTGCTTTCTGACTGATCAGAGCCTTGAGGCTCCTAATGGGAGATATTCAGGCCCTCACAGGACACCCTGGACATGCACACAGTCCTCTATTTTTGTGCAGCTTTCTAGATTCCAACATAAATGTCAGAAATCACTAATGTCTCTAGGGCACCTTATTCCCTAGAAATTTTCCTTTAAACTTCTCTGTTTGCCTATTGTTCATTCACAAGAGAAGGAAAGAAAATCATGGACAAAGCAGAATCTCAGAGATCAAATAGTAACAGCAGATCCACATCTAAATGTGTCTGTAATTGTGTAATGTTTCAATAGCCAAGTAGTCAAAGTAAAACGAAAGTAATAGCTTTTATTAACAAAAATGTCCTGTCATGATTTTAATAATAGATATATTTAAAATATGAGACTGTAAATGTTTCAATATAAGATGGTGGAGAATCTGTGAAATATAATAATTTTTAAAAAACCTGATAGAGAAATGTTAATATCAAAAAGACTTTAAGAAAAAAAAGTCATAATCAATTTCAAGTCTGCCTAAAGACATACATATTCTAACCAAAATGTATAAGATAACATAGCCTTAATATATAAAGAACAAATATTGAAAGAAATAAAAATATAAAAATGAAATCAAAATTTATAGAATTATTTTCAAACAAACTTTCTCAGAAGCTTAAAAAACAAGCAGCCAGAATAGCACTGAGCATTTCCAACATGTAAAGAAAATGTTAACTATGTTCACTTCAACAGCACCTACAGAACGCCTCTTGCAGTCGTGCACAACCCACCCATCAGCAAAGCCAAGAGCATTTCTTGCCTCCACACAAATTCCTACTACTGAAACCACACGGAGTACTTATTTATTTACTCTTTTATTATGTGTAATTAAGATAGACATCTTTAAGACAGAGAATAGAAATCCTGTTTTTGTAAGTCAAGATGTGCATTTATTAATATCCCACAGGTAAAAAAAAATCATAGATGCAGTAAAAAATTTTGATGAAAGATTTACTTAAACACTTTATTAAAAACCTCTGTGACGCTCAGTTCACAAAACTGTTAACTTGGAAAATCAAATCAGAATAAAATCAAATATAAATATGGCAAACTAATAAAATTTCAGGATCCTTGATGAATGTGGCCAAGAACAAAGTGGAAAGGCAAATTTGTGTAATATGAATGATAATAACCAATAACAGTATAAAATGGATCACCTGTGCAGTCTCCATATAGTATACATTCAAAGGATAATAAGACAATATCCATTATTTGAAATTGCTATGTACTCAATATTAATTATTTGCAATATATAGTTAAGTGCTTTGCTAATGAACAAATCACCAAGTTTCATCTTTGTACAGGTTCTTGACTGTCAATTCTTGTCATACAGATTATGTTAGTCTGACTTCAGATGTGACCCTGTCACTTGGAAATTAATAAAATGTTAACAATATTCTCAAACATTTTGTTTCCCTACTAGTCACAGAAATCGGAGTTTCACAAAGTGATTTGTTTGTTTCATTTGGGAGATTAGCTCTTTAAAGTTTGCAATCAAGCTGATTGACAATTTTAATATAAGTGTGTATAAAGAAGCACAAATCATTATTTTATTTGTACATAAAGCAATGTTCAATTCAAAATCACATATTGCAGCTCTTTTTTTAAAATTAAATCATCTTTGCTGCTGAATGTTAACCAACAGTGTTAGAGGGAAAAATTCACTGTTCCTAGTAAAGAGCTGAAAGCTTGATATATATAATTTGGATATAGCTGATACATAACTGTTTAGATTGTATTAGGAACTTTTAATGGAAATAAGGATCTTGCACTGAAACAAGCTAATGATTAAAGGTGTTATAATGTAAACTAGAATTTCTAAACCACTCTAATGACTTACATGCCTCTTGGCTAATGTTATGCTTGTTATCATATTATTTAGTTTCAAGTTCTTAAGAGTCATCAGAACAACATGGATTGAAGAGAGTTTCAAACACTTGCCATCTCTTGCTGCCATTGTTTCACAAAAGGAGAGAATCAACATTTGTTAAATTTTTACTTGTTATAAATATGTCAGCAAATGAAATACTGCAGTGCTTTCTGTCATCAATATTTTCTCAATTTTAAATATAATATCTTACAGTTTCCATCATATTTATTTTGCAACACAGTCACTTCTTTTCTAAGGTCATTTTGTGCACCAATAAGTAGATTATCATGATTCTTCTGCAAGTCCTCTGTGCTCTTTATGAACTGCTTGTATAATGACCTAATTGCTTTCAGGCTCTGACTCTGAACGATTCTACATTGTTGAAGACATTTTGCTGCTGGTGAAACACTTTAGGTAGTTTTTCTTCTTCCTCGGCTTTGTGCACATCTATATCTCACTGCTGAAACAAAGTCACAAGCTGCTAAGAATATTCTCGGTTAAGCTTCTGCCTTTCTCTTGTGTTTTCCAAACACGTTCCATTCTCTGGTTATTGGATTCGACAGATGCCCTGGTGTCCTTTCTAGTCTTTTTCTCTTGGCAAGAAGAGCCTTGTTAACGTCAGCTCCAAATCTTTCCACTATATTCTGTACTTCATGCCCACATCTTCCCCTTTTCTGCAGGAGGCTTTTTCTTCCCAAGCTTATCAGTTTCTGGAGTCTTCCCTTCAGCAACTTCCTCCTCTGAACCACTCGGGTTTTTTTTGTCTTCTTTCTGCCAGAGAGCTCCCTTTCGCTGCCATGACACTTCTCACATTTTGCAGCTCTCGACCAACTTCTGAAGCAGAACTCCCAGCTCACTTTTGCTATCTATGACCTTTATGATAAGCACATTTCCAGCTCTGAATTCCTCTCACATTCTGGCTTTAGATCTGTTGCATAACTTTGGCACTCAGAGATATTTGGCTGCGGATATTGTCCCTGGTCATTGGGAATGTTGGTGATGTTGGCAGTGACCGTCTCACTCAGCCTATTCCTTGGTTGCTATCTGACCCCAGTTGTCCACTAGTCTGTCCACCACAGTCCTCTGTAGACAATGATGCCATCTAGACACCATCTGACATAAGGTATGAGTTGAGAGAGGTGCCCTGGGGTTGGCAGCTGGCTGTGCCACACACAGCACATGCCTGTTCTGCGTGACCTGGAATCCTCCCTGGGCATGGAATGTAGATGCAACAAGGTGCACATGAAGAGCTTACATAACCTGCCCTGGGTTATCCGTGGAAGGATGGACACATGATATGGATGTTGGGGCATGAAGTGGGGTCAGGTGCGTTAATGCCCCAAACTTACTGAGGCTCCACTCAGGGAAGAGCTGGGAAGAAGTGATTAGGGTACTGACTCCGTGAAAAGCAGGAACTAGGGACTGATCCCTCGGTACTTTAGATAGTACCGGGGGAAGGGAGATGTTGAAACGGGCTTCTGTGCAGCTTGCCATCATTATCCTCATGGATTCTCTAAGTGGAAGCCGGTAGTCATGTGTTAGGACACAGCCCAGGGCTGCTTTCAGAGGCCCCATTCAGAAAATGACCCAACAGGACTGTGATGGCATCTCATCTTGAAGCTTTTCTTCTCTCCTATTTCTTGAGGAAATCTGAGAGATGAGCCCAGCCTCAGTGGGCTGCTTCTCCATCCAGGAGACTAAGCAAATGCAATTGTTCTGCATTCATCTTCTTGGGCTGCCATAAAAAGATACCAGACTTGGTGACCTAAACAACAGATATTTACTTTCTTAGTTCCAGGGTCCTGAAGTCCAAGATCAGTATCCCAGTAGGGTCGGTTTCTGGTGAGACCTGTCCTCCTGGCTTGTAAACAGCCAACTTTTCACTGCATCCTCACATGGCCTCTTCTGTGTGTACGTATGGAGACAGAAAGAGGACCCTGATGTCTTTTCCTCTTCTCACAAGAAAAACAGTCCTTAAGGATTATAGCCCCACACTTATAACAAAACTTAACTTTAACTACCTCCTTAAAACCCCTATTTTCAAATGCAGATACATTGGGGCTTTGGGTTTGAACATATAGATTTCAGGGCTTGACACAGTTCAGTCTATGGCAGCAATGAAAGGATGATGACAGCCTTTAGGAGGTTTTGTTTGTCAAGAATGAGAGTCGCAGAGAAACGTGGTGAAGGAAAGGTCCCCGGTGACTTCTCACAGCTCATCCACAAACAGGGAAATTTACTTTTTTACCCTCAGCAAGGACATGAGAAAACAGCCACAAGGAATAAAGAGATGCCCTGGAGGCCGCTGAGGGGCTGGTGAGGAGAGAAAAGCACTGACCAGACACTGAGGCCCCTTCCCTTCCCTCCTACACCTGCTCCTGGGCTGGGCCTCCTGCTCTGAGGGGCCTGAGCACCCCCTGGTGGTCATAAGTTAACACCTAAGCCCAGCCCCGTCCTGTCCTCTGAAGGGGGGTCTGTGTCTGGGCTCACACTGACCTCCCCTGGTGTTTCACACAGTAACATACAGCTGTGTCCTCAGCGGTCACAGCTCAGTTGCAGCGAGAACTGGTTCTTGGATGTATCTGTTGACAGGGTGATTCGACTCTTACTGGGAAGGTTGTGGTTGGTGCTCCCTCTGTAATAGCTTTGCCCCACTTACTCCTCCCCTTCCCTGCGGATCGGCGGGTCCTGCTCCAATAATAAACACTGCTGATGCAGGAACCAGGAACAGCACAGGTTAGGGAAGGGTCTGCGAGGGCTTCAGCAGCCCTGGGCTGACTCCTACAGCTGCACCTCAGATGGGATACCTGGGGACAGAGGGAACCACAGTGAGTCACGCATTCCCATATCTTCATGTCTGAATCCCTGAGACACTCACATCTGGGAGCCACCACCCAAACTAGGAAGAACCACAGGTGTTTCATGTCGCTGCAGATGAGGCATGTGACTTCCAAAAAATATTTTCCAGATGAGTAGGAGCAGGATTTTAAGTAATGGGTGCTGTGGTTTCATCTGGACTCCTAAGCCGGGACTTGCATGTTGGTGTCAACTTTACATGTAAAGGTGTTAATGCGGAAGGGGAGGTTCCTGTGTCTGTGGCTTCACATAGAAAGGTGATGTGGGTTGGGCCCTAGGGACAGCTTGGTTCTTCGTCTGGGATCCTCCCTCAGCAAGGCCGGTGTCCTTTTCTTCAAAGCCAGGAAATGTGCTAAATAAACTAGTCAGGAAGTTGGATGTAGCCAAGAATCAAGAACAGCTTTGGGAAGAGGATCAATGTGCCACTACCACAGTGAATATATGAGAGTACTTCTAGTCTTTCCATGTCAAGCACATGCCATATGCAGTGTCCTCTAAGTTGATAAAGACATTCTTCTCCACTAGCTCATGATTAAATGATAGGATATCTAAAAGTTTTATAGCATTAGCTAAATGTAGTAATCACATTGACTTCAAACAAAGCTGAGTAGAATCCAATATTCATCATGATTCAGATCAGCTGTTCAAGCTCATTTAACTTGGGAGCGCATTTCTTCACCTGAAATAGCTTCACTACTACATGTACTCATATTATATTCATCTGTTTTTGTTGCTTATAACAAAATACCTGGAACTGGGTAATTTGTAAGAATATGAAATTTATTGTTTACATTTTCAGAGGCTGGGAAGTCCAAACTCCAGGAAACACATCTGCTGAATGCCTTGGAGGTGACAGGGACACAGGCCTTGGAGGTGACAGGGACAATGCCTTGGAGGTGACAGGGACACAGGAGTCTGATGTGGCAGAATGGTGGAACAGAGAGACGGAACATCCCACCTACTCTTCTTTTAAAGCCCTCAGAACCATGCCCATGACCAGCCGAAACCATTCACCACGGCAGGTCCTCAAAATCTGATAACCTCTTCAAGGTCCCACCTTTCGATTATAATAATAGTATTTCCCATGCGCTTAACATTCACACTGCTGACCTAGCCTCCAACACATTAAACTTTGGGGGACACATTTCAGTCCGCTGCACACGTTGCTATGGATTTTGACTTATGCATATCAACTAATCATGCAGCTTGTTTTTCAAATGAGGTAGACAATTCTGCCTAGATGATAATGATTCCTAGCTTTGTTGATCTAGCCAAGAGTCCCCTAATGCTGTTACTTCCCTGTACACACTTCCATGTCTGAAAAACACCCTGGCCCTAGGACTGCCTTCTAGGAGAACACTGAAAAATGCAAATTCCATTCAGTGCTAAAAACAGAGACAGCCAGTGGAAGCTCCTCAGCTCACTTCTATGCTGTGGTCCAGTAACCTGGTCTTCATGTACAGACTCACCTGTCCTGGAAGTGTCCACTTCTTGCTCTCTAGGTCACATGCAGTGAATTTTAGGTCCTATAAAAGAGGCTTCCACTACTTTGGTGGAGAGAAGTGCATGATTCTTAGAAACTGAACTGCAGTGACTGGTTTGCAGAGTGGAAGAATTCCCCATGGATACAGGGCAGCTCTCTGCTCCAGGAGGTTAGACCCTCTTAAATGATCCACCCAAGTCTATGCTCGAGTTCGTGATCCCTGGCATTGCTGCTGATACAGTATGAGTAAGTGGTGGTGGAGAGCACAGTGTAGCCCCACCCCTCTTCACTGTGCAGCCCGGAGGCTGGACCTCACCATTCTCACCTCCAGTCTGTAAGGATATACATTGGGGATCACAGCAGTAAGTTTCTATATGACCTTGATAGTAGGAATCCAGAGCTGTTCAATAACATCATCACTTTATTAGTGTCATTGTCTCTAGAAATCAGAAAAGACATATGTGCACAAGAGACACCTCCTATCATCCTGCACCTGACTTGTCACACCTGGGAGATGGAAACAGGGGACCCACCCCCCTCCCCAGTGTCCTCACCCAGACACGGGCTGATTAAGATCCAGTTGTCTCTGTAAAGCCCTTTCCACCATATCATTTCATGAACAGAGTCTTGAATGCAGCATATTACAACCTGGCTATTCAATAATATTAGTTGGGTGCATTAAATAACAAATAATCTAGATGCCTGAATGTAGGTAATACAGGACACACCAGGTATGACCTGCTGTGAAACAGTGGAGGACAAAGGACATCACACAACATCAAGATCCAGGTAAGCCTGTTAGTCACCACCCACCCACCAAGGCTTGGACAGATGCACATGGGCATGACCTGGCCTGCAGTTAGCTTATGGCCCTGGTGAGAGACTGATACAAATTCTTACTCATAGAGAAGAAAATCTAATAGATGTGCATCTATTTACATATGTGGGGATGCTTGCTAGGGTATGCTCATCCCCAGGAAAGTGAAAATTAGGTCTCTTCCCGACTCCCTGTAGAGAGCAGTAAAGTATAGACTAAGAAAGAAGAATTTAAACTTCGAGCAAATGGAAGCCAACGTTTGAAAAAATGAAGGGCGTTTATTGGAGTCACTGTAAAAATAGGGTTAACAAGAGCTTGTGAACAGTATTTGTGAAGAATATTGTCACATTTGTAGATAATATTAATAAAAATGTAGCTTGGATCAAGTTATAATTTTAGTAAGAAGGGGCAATAGAAAAAAGGAACGTGCAAAAGAGAAAAGAGAAGGGTTAAAGGTATAAGATGCCTTTGAAGGTTGCCAATGATGGACACACCAAGAGGAACCAGCCGCCACCTCCAGAGGAAGAGAGAAGGACAGCGGTGAGGGTGTCTACACGGAGAGAGGGAAGCTTCAACAGCTGGCTTCCTCCCGGCTGCTTCCAGAGACCAGGACTTACAAACTAAGAACAAAGTGTGACCTTCTCTTGGAGCAAGTGGAGGCCAACATTTGAGAAAAATGGAGCGTGTTTTCTGGAGTCCCTGTAAAAACAGAAATACGAACTCAGAGACACAGAGCAGTGCTCTTGGCTAATGTCTTCTTCAGTTGAGTTGTTGGTGTTGCAAATGTAGTGGCTTTGTTTTGTTGTTATTTTGTTTTTTAATTTTCTACTCTATTAAGAGCTCAATTACACACATTGAGTGTATAGAGGAAACTCAGGAGTAAGAACTTTTCAGTGAAGATGAAGATTTGGGGGTAATTAAGATTTGCTGATCTGAGAGAATGACGGAAGGAAAGAAAGACCACAGTCGTGCATTGGACTTGCAGAGGACAAAACATTCCATGGGCTACAAACTGGAGTTGGAGGTAAGGGGGAGGCAGAAAGCGGTTGAGGATAATTGGGTGGGGGACACGTGGTACAAATGCAATTTGTGGTAATGGGCATGCTGCCAGTATGAATCTGGCCTTCACATCATTGGCACAAGGGCTGATAATCAGATTTGTATCTCATGAATATTCATAACAAAAAACCAAAAAATTAGCTGATCAAAAATTTTGTTATTGAGAATCTTGATGTTAATATCTTAATATAGAATAAGATAATGAGCAGAAATTACTAATCTAAAGAGCATCCTTTTTTTTTTTTGTCAGATTGATTACAAAACCACTGAATAATTCAAATAACTAAACCTAATAGGATCTGGTCATCTCATTTTACAATTTAAATATAGGCTGGTCTCATCAATTCAGTCTGACTTCCTCCATCAGGTATTTGTGTCTCTGTGGACAAGTGACATAGTTGCACTCACGGAAGCAGGAGGAATGCTGTGTGGTGGCATTTTTGGTTCCTTAGACAGGAATTGTAGAAAAATAATCTCCTTCACTCTCCCAGCCAATTTTCATATCTCCTTGTGACCCTTGCAGATTCTGTCACCATGTCTCTACATGATGGAAGTCAGCACGGGGATGAAGCTGACTTTTTGGGTGTATAATTGTGCAAAATTCAGGAAAAAATATCTTTGCACATGAACTGCCAAATTAATCAGGCCTGGATCCATTCACAGCCAGTCTTCTTGTGTCATCAGGCTGTGCCTTCCCTCACTGTTTCGTCACTTCAACTTGCCTCTCTCCATCTTCTGATAAAATAACCGCACATAATAATCTAGACCCATTAATATAAAAAAGAGCTAATTTGACAATTAACTCAAGTTCTGGGTGAGTTTAAAATTAGTGTGTAATGCATAATAGGACAGGCAGACTTGGCTGAATAGCAAGACTATTCCCAAAATTGTTTCATCAGAATATAGGAAAATTCTGTGCATCTCTTCAGCTTATTAGTAACTCCCATTGAGAACCTTGGTCTAATATTATTTGTTGATGGGTTTAGCTCAATAATAAAGCTGGAGGTTATTAACCAGGTATAACTGTTATTACCAAACCAAACTTGGGTCCTCTCACCTGAGTGCAGCTAAGCCAAGACACTGATACTGGGTAGCAGTGAGGGAAATCAGGCATTTAATTACAAGACTGAGCAACTGGAGCAGAGGCAGCTAATGGTGGGGGAAAAGCCTAAGCAAGGACTTTTAAGGGAAAATCTTGTGGGTTGGGGATGGGTGAGTAGCCTGTGGATGTTTGTCTCAGAAGACAGAGGAAGAGCTCTGGGACACTGTCAGTCTCCTTCTGGCTCCACTCAGTCTGGTGTCCCTGTTGTCCACAATCGGTCAGCACTTTCATCTGGTGGGAAAACTTGAGTCTCCTTCCCTGTAGGAAATGTCTCAATGACACATGTCTCAATAGTGTCTTTGACACTATGAGTCTTGAGACCCCCTCCTTAGTGCTTAGGCTACACCCCACATGCTTGGCCGTGTCTCTGTACTCCTTTCCTTCACTACTGCTTGTAAAACTCACCTCCCTAGTTAGTTGGAGAGCCTCAGCTCTCAAATTGTTAGTTGGAGAGCACAGTTCCCAGATTTTGAGTCACTTCAATTTGGGGGACAAAGACCACAGCTCACTTTCATCTAAATTTTTAAGGAGCTTCAACAAGAAGGGGCACCTGCTTGGTTTGAGTCCCTCCAACTCCTTGATCATCTCAATTCTGAGGGTGTGTGGGTGCAGACTGCTCCTACTACTCCTGCTGATTAAGGAAAACACTTGATTTTAGGATTGGAGGAATGTTGTATACACTTATTTCAAAATATTCTCAAGTCCCTGGCCTGGTCCTTGCTTCTGCAGAGAATATTAGTGCCAGTGAATACAGCATGAGCAGATCTTAGGATGCAAAAGTGAGGCCGGGAAACCAGTTAGACCATTGGCCGGGAAACCAGTTAGACCATTGCAATAGTGAGAGGAGAGATAACGGTATCACAGGCTGGAGATGAAGAGAAATGCTCCGATTTGGAATATTTTGCAGATAGAGCTGATAGGATTTGCTGACAGTTTGAGTACTGCTTCTCCTGAAGAACAATCACAAATTACAATCAGAATCTCCTTGGGCTCACGAAGCTACTTAGAAATAAAATGGAACTACAAAGCCACACTACAACTTGACAGACGGCCACCTGGCTGGACTTTGCCCCCCACCATTTCTACAATCATGTTCATATAGCCATGAAATTAAAGATTTGATATTTTCTTATTCTTGTCTATTGGTGAGGTAGTCAACAGGAACAATGTTAGAATCATGAAAATGCCATTTGAGGCAAAGGAATACTGTTCCTCATGAGGTTTGAGAGGGAAATCCTACTTAAGATAATTTTTTCATGTGAATTTTCTGGTGTAGAAAAAGATTGGAACTGTGAGTGAAGGCTTTTCCACACTTGCTGCATTCATAAGGTTTCTCTCCAGATAAATGGTCTGGTGTTCAGTAAGTTGGGTCCTCTGCCTAAAGGCTTTCCCACATTCACTGTGTTCGTAGGTTTCTCTCCTGTGTGAAATTTATGATGCTGAATAAGAGTTGATTGTGCACCAAAAGTATTCCCACATGCACTACAGTCATAGAGTTTATCACAAGTATGAATTCTATGATGTTTGATACCATGAGCATTTTGGTGAGAAGCCCTGCCACATTCATTACATAAACAGAGTTTCCATTTGATATCCACGGCCAGTTGAATATCATGTGTTCTTTGATGTTGACTGAAGTGTGAACTGTGTCTAAAGGCTTTCCCACATTCACTATACTCGTAGGGTTTCTCTCCAGTGTGAATTTTGTAATGTTCAATAAGGATTCAGCGCTCACTAAAATATTTCCCACAATCATTACATTCATAAATTTTCTCTCCAGTATGAATTCTCAGATGCTGAATAAGCTTAGAGTTCTGAATAAAGGCTCCTCCACAATCATTACACTGAAAGGGCTTCTCTCCAGTATGAACTCTGTAATGTTGAATAAGGTTAAAGATCTGGATGAAAGCTTTTCCACATTTAGTACACTCATAGGGTTTCTCTCCAGTATGGTAGCTCTGATGTCTAATGAGGTCAGTACTCCATCTGAAGGCTTTCCCACATGTGCAACATGCATAAAGCCTCCCTCTCCTTCGAATGTGCTGCTTTTCATTAACAGTTTTTTGCAACAGCAGATACTTTGGGATTCAGTGTATTTACATGTTTTTTCTAACACCTGAATTCCTTGATAGTCACTGTTATCTGAATTCTCATTGAAGTTTTGATCATATATATCTCACTGCCTGGAAACCTCTTTTGCATGAAACTCCTGAAATGATACAGCATCTGAGCTCAAGTTCCAAGTTTTGTCCAACATGTTACATTCTCACATTTTCTCTTTTGTAGAGATTTCCTCCTGGATAACAGTCATTGGCCTAAAACCAGTCTTCTCGAGAGGAGATTGTTTCAAATTTAAACTTCCCTCAAGTCTGCATAAATTCATCTCATCTTTCCAGCTTTCACTAGCTTGGATCCTGTTGTGGTCATGTCTTGTGTTCCCATCTCTTCATAAATTTCCTGGTTTAAATTATACCTGTCTTCTCAGGCCTGTCCTCCAATTCTGAAGTAAACACAAATTGTCAATATCATCTGTCCCTTAATCCTGGAGAAAGAACTGTTGTTACATGAAAAGAGAACTACAGGAAACAGGTATCTCAAGAAATACAAGGATCAATGCTGACTGATCACTACATGCCTCAGCTAGAAAATGAAAAAGAGGAATAAATAAGGAAGGACAGACAAAGTGGTAGGAGATGTGGTAGCCACAGGCTAACTACAGTTCATCTTGTACATCAGCAATAGGTGAAAGGGTAAATGCAGGTAAGAGGGAGTGAGAGGGAAGCTGAGCAAGTCGTGAGATAAAGAACCTTCATGGACTATGGAAAGAGGTCAGACAAAGGGTCTGCCTTAGACTTGAGGACAGAAGCACAATGAAACCAGGACACCTGGAATCTTTCGTCTTCATTTTTATCTAGCTGAGCTACACTTTTTCATCTCAGCATGTGAATTCTTCCTTTCCGTCCCTTATCACAAACTAGCCCTGACCCACAACATATACTCAGGGACATTCTTCCTGAAGGAAGAGGAAAGTCATGCAGGAGGGGCTTTTCATAACAGTTGATCTCTCAAGATTTAAAAATATTTATTCAGTATCTACTTCTTTATTACTTCCTGGTACTTACTCAAACCTCTTTTAATAACCATAAGACAGTAAATGGACACAGACTTTGTGGTATGGGCTGAATTGTGTCCCTTACCCCACCCCAAATTAACATATTGAAGCTCTAACTCCCATATGACTGTATTTAGTGACAGGGACTTTAAGGGGCTGATTAGGTTAAATGAAGTCTTAAGGGTGTGGCTGTAATTAGATAGTACTGGTGTCCTTATAAGATGAAGAGACACCAGAGATCTCTCTCTGTCCATGTAAGGATGCAGTGAGAAGGTACCGTCTGCAAGCCAAGGAGAGAGGCCTCACCAGAAATTAACACTGCTGGCACCTTCACTGTGGATTTCTAGCCTCCAGATTGAGAAAATGAATTTCTGTTGTTTAAGCCATCCAGGATGTGGTATTTCATTATGACAGCAAGAGCAGACTAATACACTATGATAAGGGGAGAAAAAACCTAAGAAGATAACTAGCCATGTTGATGGTTCACATAAAAGCAGCCAGAGAAAATGAACGTGATACATGTTGCAAAGAAGAGGATATTTTGATGGGGATAACCTCTCAAAGACTTTGGGGAGGGGGTCAATGTATACCTGTGCTTGGAGGGTTACAAAACTTCTTGTTTATAGCACATGTGAATAGTCTTGTTTATAGCACACGTGAATGGGGTGCCAATGATTTACAGTAAGAAACATTCTATGACTTAGGCAGTTAAGAGCTGGTATGTGCCCTTCATGGTATCCTTCTCACATCTGTGCAGCTGGAAGCAAAGACCAAATGCATGATGTGGATGTAGTGCCAAAGCAGCTCAGACCTTGTGCCATAATTTGAGAACAGCCAAAGTGGGGCACCTGCCCTATATGTGAGTGAGAGGCACCATTTTCTGTCCAAAAGTCCAAACAGCTTATCAAAGTTTATAAGACCCCTGATGAGATAGTCCCTAATCTCTCTTCAACCTACTCTCTCACTACCCACTGTGTTTAACAATTTACACTTGAAAAACACTGAGTGCCTTTCAGTCCCTGAACCACACAACTCCCTGTACCTCCTGGGCCTTTGAAGATGTAGTATCCACCCCTTGACAAGAAAACTCTTGCTGCAACATTCTGCCCTTGAATGACTTCTGCACAGTCTTCAGGGCTAAGCACAGACATCCATTCCACTCAGAAACCTTCCTGACTCCCTAAGCTGGGCTAAGTGCTCTTCCAGAGCATTCCCATGGCAACTGTGGCACTCCATTGTATCAAAATTGATCTATTCTCCTTTTCCCCTACTAAGTATCTTAAGTCAGATACTGTAAAACATTCACAGTTTTGTCCCAGGTTGTGTAAGAAAGTCTCTTACAGAGAAGAGATGAGGCAGGGTATGAGACGGGAGCAGAATGGAGTCTCTCATGGGAATTTCTCTTCTCACACCATATTCTGCAATAGCTCTGGCTCTGCACACATCTGTCATCACCTCATCTACTGCAATAACTTCCTGACTTGTCTCTTTGCTTCCTGCCTCTTGACACTATAGTTCATCACCCAACTTACTAACACAATCCACTCGTGCTGATCTCCAGTTTAAAACCCTTCAATGGATCTCTACTAGATACAGAAAATAAAAATCTAGGGCTGGCCGGTTAGCTCAGTCAGTTACAGCATGGTGCTGAAAACACTAAGGTCCAGAGTTCAACACCTGTACTGGCCAGCCACTAAAATAAATAAATTAGATGAAGTAAAAGTCTAAGTTTCTTAACATAATGCATGAAATCCTCTCTGATGGAGGCCTGCCTGCCTGCCTCTCAGGATCATATTTCTCCTTCCTAGCTCTGCTCATAAAGACCCCTGCTGTGGCAATATCCTTCTCAAATTGATGCATCAATCTCAGACTTCGAGGGTTCAATTCCTGGCTCCAATACTGGTGTGCTTGGGAAGGTGATGTAACCTCTCTGTGCATTAAATTTATAAAAATGGGAATAATAACAGTATATATTGCATAGGCTTGTTGTTAGATTGAGTCATAATATGCAGAAAAATGTTAGAACACTGCCTGATACATGACATGCACCATTTAAGTGGTGCTATTATTATCACCGCCATCCTCTTT